TTGGGAGCCCCATTTTTAAAAAACAATTACTTATATATATTTTATTTTTTGAAAAAAAAACAATTATGTGTACTATGAGTGCTATGATTTCTACTTAGGAAATTACATATATGATGAATATAAACCTGATTTTCTTTAAAAAAAATTTGATGAACATATGAATAAGAAAATCACTAAGTCTCCTGAAGAATCTTTAGAGTTGATTACTTTATATATGTAGAGTAGATCAAAGTATTTTTTATACTTCAAAATAGATTTGAATCAATTGAAGCATATAAGCATATAAGAACTTATTTAAGAAAATATTGTTTTTTGAATTAAAAGTGTTAAGAGAAATAATACAAGTAGAAGATAATGATCTAATGAAAATACTCAATCAAATAAAGAGACTTGATTTTTTTTCGAAATTAAAATTGATTAAATCTTCTTTAAGATCAACAATGTCTCAAGAGAGATTGAATGAATTAGCTATATTATCATATGAAAAAGAAATATAAAAACAGATTGATTATAAAACAGTACTTAATGACTTTGCATCTAAAATAGCTAGAAAAATATATTTTAAATAAAAGTATATATGATGAAAAAAATAAAATATTAGGGCCCCTCTCTTAAGATTCGTTTTAGGCACCCAATGTTGTTGAGTCGGCCCTGCTTAGCGTTACTTGGAAAGTTGTACACTAGGGACAGATTGCTGAAATAGAGGATTATCGATGATAATATATGCCCTTTATGTATTTAACGAAAGAGATGGTGGAACATTTGACGTTCTGTTCGTGCCCTTTCTATAAAGAAGAAGTTTGGGAGAGACTGCTAGCTTGATAGGGATATCAGAGGGCTATCAATTCAGAGGCGAACTCAAGATTTGAAGATTTTGGGTGCATCAACAGGGGCGGAGCTACTATATCAAAAGGGGGTTCGGTCGAACCCATTGGTTTTTTCATAGATCCTATATTCGTATTGAAATATCAAATACAAAGTACATATATATGTCCTGCGAACCCACAAGATAGTGAGGCGGGTGTCCCAATGATTTCTACACACCCAGCGAATTCCTTCTGTCCCGCGCGTCGTGGGTTCGAAACTTGTTGTGGGCAATTTGTTTTTGGAATTAATTTTTCTATCTTAAAGATTAAAATATTTTATACAAATAAGAAAATCTATAAATGAAAAATATAGAAAAATAGTGTTTGTGTCCTACTCTAAATGAAAAACTTTTCAGCCAAATTTATTTCCAAAAGTTAGGGTTCTAACTTTTATTTTTGATTTGATTGCTACTATTCGACCTCTACCCTCCGGTATGTATTATGTAGTCTTGTCTCTTCTTTTTCATTTTTTTTCTTATTTGTTTATTTTTACCCTATATAATTATCTATTCAAAATTAATTTTTAATCTTTGATTCTAGGGTTATTCCACATATTGATAATTGATTATATTAATATAATTGTTGTTTGCTTTTCAAAATCTTAACTTTTGAAGAACATAATGGTTCTAGGTGATAATGAAACTAATAAAATATATGTTTTAGGTGCCAAAATGTTAATGGTGAATTTAATAATTTTAATCTCACTTAGAACAATATTGAAGATTATAGTAAAAATGTTCAAAATTTTATATTAAAAATTATTCACATTTTATAAACAAGTTTAAATTAAATTACTCAAATATTCATATTATTAGATTAAGTTTTACAATAACAATATCTAAGATAATGTTTTCAAACATGACTAACATCTCATTAACATAATTTGTGTTTTTGTGATTTTTAAGATTCAAATCGTCGTTCGTTTAGTGAATTAAATAGTTGCATATTTATTCATTAATTTGACGGTTGTTACTTTAGGTTAAGATCATTGTCCTTTTTCAAAATTTAGAACCCACATGCCTGAAATCTTGGCTTCGCCTCTGTGCACCAATATATATAACCTTAGCTCAAATATGAGCTCTAAGCTAAACTTAAAATAAAAATAATAAAAAAGAGCTTTAGTTAGATTTGAACCCTGGTTTCAAGGGTGATATTTCTAGCTTGTACCAATAGGAGAAGAGCACTTCTATGCATCTCATGGGTGCACTATTAACTATATCATAATTTCTACCAGTTTTTCAAAATAGATATACATATATAGGTATGATTTTTTCAAAAGTTAGTGGGTGCACGTGCACCCCTTCTCCATAGAGTGGGTCCGCTCTGGCTACCATGGGTTGGACTGCTAAGTTAGCATGGATGACTCAAAATGTGAATGACAAAGCTACTCAATCTCAGATGTTCAGGATAATACATGGTGTGACAAAAGAGGAACTACATAGTCTTTCTGGAGAAAGAGGAGGACCCCAAGCATCATTACTTCATCGATGAAGCCTAAGTTAGCTCAAAGAACCACTAAACTAGACTACTAAATCTATATAAATAAATATTCTAGCTTTAATTGGTGCAAGTTCTAAATTATGCTTATGAAAATGAAAACACTCGAGCGATTAAGGACTCATCACTTACCTCGAAATCGTTAAGCCTTGAAATAATACAATCTATGTGAGATATAAATTAATGCATTTTAGTAGGATATATAGGTGGAATATATTTCCATAGTTTTTAAATAGTCAAAGTCAACCCTAAACCAAATCTAGTCAAACACCAAACATAAATTTCAAATTTTGATGACCTACTAGCTTACGAGTTCAAATCAATGTTTATATATATATCTATTTAGAGATTATTTAGATATTCAAAGTGTCATTTAAATGATAAATTATAAAGCAAATTCATGATATAAAATCAAAGATACATTTAAATAATTTGTTCTTGGTAAAATCTGGATTGAACACCATTGCATGTACCTTTAGATCTAGAGAAATCTAAGATGGAAAATATGTTTGTTGCTTCTTTGACTTTCAAGGGACAAGAGAGTTTCCAAATTTGATTGCAAAATGACTTTCTAGTATTAAGACAAGCAATCCAATCAGAGTCACACTAGCAAGAAAGTATATTTTAGCAAATAATAAGACCCATGCCTAGTGCATATCCAACTAGTCTTACCGCAACATCCTAATAATAAGACTGCTGCATGAATTGGCTCAAAGTCGAGTATAGTAAAACTAATATCAGGCCTTGTTATAGTCGCACCAACTTTTGATATACTAGGATCACCTGATACTCGAATACTATGTTTAGTGAGTTTATTATTCACCTCCCCACATACATTGCTACATGTTAAAAAGTTTCATGATAGTTCAGGCCTTCCCTTTGGCCAAATTCCTTTGCTACCAGCCAAGCTTTGAACCTCTCTATTTGGCTTAGTTATATTTAATTTTATAGATCCATTTTGAACCCATAACATTTTTTTCAACATATGGCACGTTTGTGACTCTCTAATATTGTTCTCTTATAAAGCTTCAACTTCCTGTTGCATAGACATAGCCTTTTTTGTGTTTTGCATTGCTTCCTTGAAATTTGTTGGTTCCACTACTATATGTGATTTTGGGAGGGGACCATGGATTCACGTGAACCCGGTGACCCCCTCCTATATACGCCCCTGCTTTTTTGTGTTTTGCATTGCTTCCTTGAAATTTGTTGGTTCCACTAACAAATTGTACATTCAATCCGATAGTTTGAACTCGCCAAAGTCCCATTTGCATTTACCAAATTACCCTCATTCTCCATAGCAATTATCATCACTATAATGATTTGATTTAATTTATTTGGGTTAAGATAGTTAAGAGGTTGGAAAACGGATTAAAATTTGGAAATGTTTCATTTTAAAGAAAAATAGACAATTTGGGACGATTTGGAATTTTTCGTCAAAAAATGAATAACGAGTGACAAGTGTGTAGATGATAAGACTATAAATGGTTACATAGTATAATGAAGGATAATACTAGTTATTAAGAGAAACTTGAGAGTTATTTTTTGGAACTTTCACATATAGTCACTCAAAAATAGTCTAATTACGCTCCATAGCTATAGTTTGTTAATTACGATTCGTAACTACATATTATAGGGAGGAGAGTGGCGAGCGAGACTGGGAGAGGGACGAGAGAAGCGAGCGAGAGAGGGCAGAGAGTGGGAAGAGAGGTGAATTGTATATGTACATCGGTTATATAATTGTATATTATACATATGTATTTATATATTTTGGCAAGAGAGATTGGGAGAGAGAGGAGCGAGGCGAGCGAGATTGGGAGAGGGAGGAGAGACACAAGCGAGAGAGGACAATAATTTGTATAATTCGCATCTCGTTTGTATAATCCACAGGTACATTTGTATAATTCGTGTGTTTTTGTATAATTGAGTAATAAAATCTGGAATTATACAAATATAATAAAACTCAAAATAACGAATTGATATAAACATAAACATATGAAGTTTAAACAATTATACAAAATATATTATACAAATTACATTATATAAATTATATTATACAAAATCCAAAAACTACACGTTTATACAAATTTTAAAAAGTTATACACAAAAAGATTGAATGTATATGATGCCAAAACTGAAAAATCAAAGGAAATCATCGTCATATACAAATACAAATCAAACAAAGAATTATTAGTTACGAATTATATAAATATGGCAAATTATACATATACAAACATGGCTAATTATACAAACGTGACAATTATACAAACTCGAAATCAACATATGTAATTAATGGTTAATATTAGTCGTGACTGATAATTATACCAAACTATAGCTATGATGAGTAATTAAGTAAGGGTAATGCTAAATTGCAAGAAAATTTGGCCAAACGGGACCTTAGTCTTAACTTCTCACGAAACACCACAAAATTTAAAATATTTTGAAATATTTTCTCAAATTTTATGTGAATATAAACAAATTAAAATCATTGGCATCGCTGATCATGGATCCAATACCACAGGTTCATACGTGACAGCCAGCACCTTTTCCTTGTGAATTTATCTTTATCTTTTCCATCTGTGCGAAGTTGTTAAACTCTATCCCTATTCTCACTTTTCTGAAAAATCAGTTACAGCAACAATGGCGATCGTAGAAGCGGCCTCCAAATCCGATTCGCACCTCATTTTCACATACGGAACCCTAAAGCGCGGATTCCCCAACCATCGCCTGATGGAAAATCTAATCAGCGGCGGCAACGTCGTCTTCATCGGCGAGTACACAACGGTAGAGGCCTTCCCACTCTGTTGCGGGCCCTACGGGATCCCGTACCTGATCAACATCACCGGATCTGGTCACCGGATTCGGGGCGAGCTCTACAAGGTGAATAACATTGGGCAAGGACCACTTGATGATTTGGAAGGGATCGAGATAGGTCACTACGAGAGGCTGCCGGTGACCGTCGTTGGTGACTGCAGTGAGACGGTGATGGCGGAGGCGTATTTCGCGCATAGGAGCTTTGGGGAAGGGATGTGGAAGAGGTGTGGAGAAGTAGGGATTGAGGAGTTTAGTATGGAATTAGGGAAGAAATATGAGAGGAAAGAAAAAAGGCCTTCCAATCACGATTTTCTTCAAGATATCAGAAATTTTATCTCCAATGGTGATTGAGATTGTGATTTTCTTTTTTCTGGCAATATTATATCATTGTGACTGGTGCTATCATTTCTATTGCAAAAATGTTTTAAATAATTTCTTACTATTTTATTGTTCGATTTTTGTTATAAATACATTAATGTGGATGTCATCCGTAACTCTCTTCAAAGATCATCCGTAACTCTCTTTCAAGTTCATGTATGAAATAAATGAACACTATTTAATTCATGTAACTTTGAAGAGACATTTTGTAATATAAATAGGCGATGATTATTTTATAAAAGAGACAATTGAAAAGTACAGAAGAAAGAAATAAGAAAGCATTATCTCCCATTCTCATATATCTTGTCTATATATTTATTGTCTGATATTATTTTATATTGCTAATATTTCACAGCACGTTATCAGCACGAGTCTCTAACCAACTGAGACCTACTTAATTCGAAATTAATTTCTAAAAGTTAATCAACTTTCTTTTAGAGTCAGTTTTCATCATGTCGAATTTGTCAAAGCTTGAATTTGTGGCACTTGACATTTCTGGAAAGAACTATTTGTCATGGGTACTTGATGCTGAAATTCACCTTACCGCTAAGGGTCTTGGTGATTGTATAATTGAAGGAAATAAGGCATCAAGTCAGGATAAAGCGAAAGCTATGATTTTCCTTCGTCATCATCTTGATGAAAGCCTGAAGGTTGAATACTTAACAGTGAAAGATCCACTTGAATTGTGGATAGGTTTGAAATAGAGGTATGACCACCTCAAGGCAACTGTATTACCAAGGGCTCGTTATGAATGGATGCACTTACAGTTTCAAGATTATAAAACAATAATTGAGTATAACTCTGATGTATTTAGAATCACTTCCCAATTAAAATTATGTGGGGAAGTTATAAAAGATGAGGACATGTTGGAAAAGACACTAACTACTTTCCATGCCTCCAATATGATATTACAGCAACAATACCGGGAAAAGGGTTTTAAAAAATACTCTGAATTAATCTCATGTCTTTTGGTGGCTGAGCAACATAATGACCTTTTAATGAAAAATCATGAAGCCCGTCCCACTGGAAGTGCTCCATTACCGGAGGCCCACAGGGTAGAAGCACACGGCCAGTCTGAAATAAGACAAAATAATCGGGGCCATGATAATGTGCGTGGACGTGGCAAAGGCAAAAGACGATATAATAATCGTCGAGGTGGTGGTCATAACAAAAGGGAGAACAATATGGGTTCTCAAAATAATCCTTCAAAAGGCAAGGGCGATCACTGTCATCGTTGTGGCCTTAAAGGTCACTGGAAAAATGAATGTCGGGCACCTGAGCATTTTGTCAGGCTGTATCAAAATTCCTTTAAAAGGAAAGGGAATAGAGGTGGTGCCTCCTCTTCTAATGCCCGAGTGGAGTCACATTTGACTCTCAAAAATGATGCTCAGGCAGGGTCTTCTCAAAAATATGATGAGAATGTTGAGGCAAATTTAACATTGAAAGATGATGCTTTTGATGGGCTCGATGATATTACTCATCTAGAAGCTGAGGACTTCTTTGGGGATCGCAATTGAAGATTGATAATTGAATTGGGAAATAAATAATATTATGTGTTTTTAATGTCTTACTTAAAGTTCATGTACTTAAATTTTCATTTGTTAAGTTTCATACTTCTTATTATGTATTTTTATTTTTATGAAGATAAATAAAATTTCCTAGTCTTCAGTTGGATCCAAGATGAGTAATGGAGATATGTGTCTTCTGGATAGTGCCATAACTCATACGATACTAAGAGAAAAGAAATATTTCTCTCATTTGGTAATGAAAAATGCATATGTTAATACAATATCTGGTGTACAAAATTTATTGAGGGATCTGGAAGAGCAGCCTTATTACTACCTGGAGGAACATTATTGGTAATTGATAATGCATTGTATTGTAGTAAGTCTCATAGAAACTTGTTAAGTTTCAAGGTTATTCACCAAAATGGCTATCATGTTGAGACTGCGAATGAAGGAAATGTTGAATACCTTTATATTACTACAATAAATGCGGAGAAGAAAACTGTGCATGAAAAATTGCATGTACTTTCTTCTGGGTTGTACCATACAAATATTGGTCCAGTTGAATCACATGCCATAGTAAACAAAAAGGTTTACTGGTTCTATTGATTTTATCATTTGGCACGACGGTTGGGCCATCCCGGTTATAATATGATGCGCAGAATAATTGAAAATTCACATGGGCATAGTTTAAAGAACCAAAATGTTCTTCAATCAAATGAATTCTCTTGTGCTGCTTGTTCACAAGGAAAGTTGGTTATCAAACCATCAACGACTAAGGTTGGAGTGGAATCTCTCGCATTTCTGGAACGGATACAGGGTGATATATGTGGGTTTATTCACCCTGCATGTGGACCATTTAAATATTATATGGTCTTGATAGATGCATCTACAAGATGGTCTCATGTGTGCTTATTATCAACTCGCAATATGACTTTTGCGAGGTTGTTGGCTCAAATCAAATAATAAGGTTAAAATCACAATTTCCAGATTATGCAATAAAAACAATTCGTCTTGATAATGCTGGTGAGTTTACATCTCAGGCATTTAATGATTATTGTTTGTCCACTGAAATAACAGTTGAACATCTTGCTGCACATGTTCATACTCAAAATGGTTTAGCAGAGTCATTGATTAAACGTTTTCAATTGATAGCTAGACCATTGCTGATGTGAACAAAGTTGCCTGTTTCGGTTTGGGGGCATGCTATTTTGCATGCAACGGCACTTGTACACATAAGGCCAACCAGTTATCATGACATCTCCCCATTACAATTGGTTTTTGGTCCGGAGCCACAAACATTTCCCATCTAAGAATCTTTGGTTGTGCGGTATATGTTCCAATTGCTCCACCACAACGCACAAAGATGGGTCCCCAAAGAAGGTTGGGGATATATGTTGGGTATGAATGTCGTTCTATTATAAAATATTTGAAACCTAGAACTGGAGATTTATTTACGGCAAGGTTTGTTGATTGTCATTTTGATGAATCAGTATACCCAACATTAGGGGGAGAACAAAAGCAATTGGGAAATGAGATAGATTGAAATTCACTTTCACTGTCTCATTTAGATCCTTAAACAAATCAATGTGAGCAAGAAGTTCAAAAGATAATTTATTTGCAGAATATTGCAAATCAATTGTCGGATGCATTTACTAACCTTTCATGAGTTACTAAATCATATATCCCAGTTGCTAATGCTCAAGTTCGAGTTGATGTCCCGATAGGACAAAATGTTAAGGCAAATGAGTATGGACCACGCTTAAAATGTGGTAGACCAATTGGTTCCAAGGATAAAAATCCTTGAAAAAAGAAAGGAATAAATTATCAAGATGATCATAATATAGAGGCAATTGCTCATGAAGAGCTCCAAGACATAATAAATGAAGACACCACAGAAGAGGTCCATGTACTTGAAAATAATGAGAATGAAAAAATCTCTATAAATTATGTCTCGACGAGAAAAAGGTGGAATTGAAATAATATTGTGGTGGATAATATTTTTGCCTATAATGTTGCAGTTGAAATAATGCAACAAGATGAGGATTTAGAACCACGATCTGTCAATGAATGTAAACAGAGAAATGATTGGTCAAAATGGAAGGAAGCAATTCAAACAGAATTGGCTTCACTTGAAAAACGTGAAGTTTTTGGACCAATAGTCCGAACCCCTAAAGGTGTCAAGCCAGTTGGGTACAAGTGGGTTTTTGTGCGAAAACGCAATGAAAATGGTAAAGTCGTAAGATATAAAGCACGACTTGTGGCACAATGATTTTCGCAAAGACCTGACATTGATTATGAGGAGACATATTCTCCTGTGGTAGATGCAATTACCTTCAGGTATCTAATAAATATGACAGTTCATGAAAAGCTTGAAATGCATCTAGGACGTTGTCACAGCCTATTTATATGGCTCACTAGACCACAATATTTTTATGAAAATCCCTGAAACACTCAAAGTGCCTGAAGCATATGAAAATTCAGAAGAAAATTGTTCAATAAAGCTTCAGAAATCCTTATATGGATTGAAACAATCAGGACGAATGTGGTATAATCGTCTTAGCGAATATTTGCTAAAAGAAGGGTATAAGAATGACCCTATTTGTCCTTGTATTTTTATACGAAGGTCAAGATATGAATTTGTAATAATATTTGTTTATGTTGATGACTTGAACATCATTGGAACTCCTACAGAGCTTTCAAAAATCGTTGAGTGTTTGAAGAAAGAATTTGAAATGAAAGATCTTGGAAAGACAAAATTTTGTCTTGGCCTTCAGATTGAACATTTGAAAAGTGGAATATTTATCCATCAATAAACATATACTGGAAAGGTTTTAAAGCGATTTTACATGGATAAATCACACCCATTGAGTACCCCGATAGTTGTGAGATCTCTCGATATAAATAAAGATCCATTCCGACCTCAAGAAAAGGATGAACAGATTCTTGGTGATGAAACACCATATCTTAGTGCTATTGGGGCACTAATGTACCTAGCCAATAATACCCGGCCAAATTTTTGTTTCGGAGTAAATTTATTGGCGAGATTCAGCTCATGTCCAACAAGAAAACATTGGAAAGGTGTTAAGCATATATTCAGATATCTTCAAGGAACAATTGATATGAGATTGTTGTATTCTAATGCATCCAAGTCAGAATTGATCGGTTATGTAGATGCTGGCTATTTGTCTGATCCACATAAAGCCCGATCTCAGACAGGCTATTTATTCACATACGGAGATACAACTATATCATGGCGTTCGATGAAGCAAACAATAGTTGCTACTTCTTCAAATCATGCAGGGATAATAGCCATTCATGAAGCCAGTCGAGAGTGTGTATGGTTAAGATCAATGACTCAACACATTTTGCAATTATGCGGTCTTTCTGTGCAAACAAAGATTCCAACAATATTGTATGAAGATAATGTTGTCTGCATAGCTCAATTAAAAGGAGGATATATCAAAGGAGACCGAACAAA